ACTTGGTCATGATACAACCTGGTTTTCTATCCAGACTAAGTTTTTTGTCCAGATGCTTGCAAAGGAAGAAACTGATGAGGAGCAAGGATAGGCCGAGTCACCCTACAAAACCCCCGAAGTGGTGACGAGGCAAGTGACTAAAATCAGAAACACAAGAAGCCAGAACACTGCTACTCTCTCTTCAACCTACCACCTTTCCCACCTCCAGAACCAAGAAGAGATTTCTTCCTGGGAGAACTGTGCCAGACTCAAAGCATATTAAGAATGCAGTGCTGGTCTAAAAAGTCAAATGAGACAAGATCACAAATATTGTACAGGGAAACCATCCAGCCCTTTCTCCCATCCAGCTCGCAGAACTCAGGCAATTAGGCTTTCTCCTTTCTCCCATCCAGCTCGCAGAACTCAGGCAATTACACTTTCTGGAGAACTCTAACAGGCCAGGGAAGACCTTCATAAACAGCCTTTCCAGAGTGCTCAAGGAAGTCCACTAGCACCTGATCATTTTACAGTCAACCATCCTCGCTCAGTCATGTCGGAGCTGTTGTTGTGAACCTTCAAGCTAGAACCAGGCCATAGCTGACCACCCAGTGGGTTTTCAGAGACAGTAAACCACAGGGGAGATGAATGTCCATCTTTCTCCCACAGAGCAGCTGGTGGATTCAAACCGTGTGCCTTTGGGATTACAGCACAGCTCCTGACCACTAGGCCATTAGAGCTCCTCCCTTCATAGTCATCAATTTTTCACTGCCTCCCTCTTCATACAGCTGGCCACACAAAGATTCACTCGAGAACTAGAATTAAAAATTATAAACTCAGCCAAAACAGAAGCACTAGATGGCATCCAGCTACCATTACTAAATATTTTAATCAAATATTCTATACAAGAATTCTGATCAAGGGAGCTCTGGTGGCCTAGTGGCAAGGAGCTGCACTCAAATCCCAAAGGTGTGAGGTTCAAATCCACCAGATGCTCCACTACAGAAGGAGGGACAATCTCCTCCTGTGCCAGTTGGATCTGATTCGAGAGCACACAACAAGTTTAAAAAAAAAGTAGAAGAATTCTGATAGAAGGGAAATGCCCAAAAGCATTACAAAGTCTCAAAGACTCTAAATGTCCTGAAGCCGTGGAGGGTGGATGAATCCCACTGCCCTGAGATCATCTTTAAACCTTAAACCAAACCACACCTTGAATTGTCTTAAAACGGAATAGCAGTTTAACTCAAGTAGTCAAATCATCAGACAATGAAGGATCTCCTTATACAGCAGCCCAAATCAACAAGGCTAAATGTTTACTAGAAGATTAAGCTAAAAAAATAAACATAAGATGAATTGTAAAGTACATACTAGTTTATGTATACAAGTCTGACTTTTTATAAGAAAATGCCTCCAAGTTTTAATTTTTAAAAAGGATTCAAACAGGTATTTCTCCAAAGAAGAGATACATATATGGCCATTAACACATGAAAAGATACTCAGCCTCATCAATTATTAAGGAAATGTAAATAATAATTGCAATCGGTGGTTTCGCTAGAATAGCAAAAATGAGTAAAAAGGTAAGATGGGTGAAAGGAAAGGCAATACATAATGTGGAGTTGATCGGACACTATAATTAATTCATTAATCAATTATGATTTCTATTATAAAACAAAATGTATATGAATGAATGCAAAACTAATACAATCTGTAAACTTTTGCACAAATTTGGAAAACTACAAATAACAATGAGATACCACTTCCCATGCTCTACTCCCTGGTAATTCTGACCACAGTGACTACAGAACAGGGCAGAATTACCCCACAGGATCCAAGCCTGCAGATTTTATGGGAGCAGATTGCCTAAATACAGACAGACAATACAAGAAATCAGAGAGAATACTGAAAAACTGGAGCTCTCTTATAATCCTGGAGGGAAGATAAAACAGTGCAGCCACACTTTGGAAAAGAATCTGAAAGTTCCTCCTAAAGTCAAGCTTAAGACTTATCTTACAATCCAGAAATTCCACTCCCAGGTATATCATGAAGTTTCAGGATAAAAAGGGTAGACAAAATTTATGTTGATCTAGAATTCTTTAGCTATAATTATCAATCTTTTATCTGAAAAAGTTATTTTTCAACATAGTGACTATTCTACTAGACAGTATAGATTTAAAGCATGTACACACACTCCAAAATTCTTTATATTCTAGAAAACGGTATGAACAACTTACCTTCTGCACCTTGGCTTTGACCACTAGCCCTGGTAGCAAGTTATTAAGGCTCCAGTTGTGCTCCTCTGTAGCAATGGCAGTAGAAACCTCTGAAGGATCAACAGATAGACTAACAACTCCTCCGCTGCCTTTCACCTCTTGAATGACGCAGTTCAGGTACTGACCCACCTTCAGTTTGGTATCTGGAAGCCCAGACCCAATCCCCAAAAAAAGAAAACAACTCTATGACTAAGACCTTTAACTTAAGAGATAAAGAATAATAACTGAAGAACCTTGCTGCCTCGCTCTCATCTATTCCTCTAACTCCCCGTCTCCAAGGAAGCAATTACAAGAAAGGAGCAAAGCTACCCCAAGTAACCTGAAATCAACCATCCCACAAAATGTATGAGAATCACAACGAAGTCAGGAGAGTGCTGTTCTTGAGGCCATGCTGGAGTAGAATCTTTTGGGTGAGAACAAACTGAAACTGGCCCATCACATCTTGGTGAGACCCCCTCACATCCTGTCCTTCACTCAGCTTTCCTTCCCAAACAGCTAGGATTAAATGCCTATTTTACCAATGTCAAACAGCTTTTAGGGTCATTTCAATGTAACTAACTGCTGTGACACCCCTGAATGTCACACACTAGGTCCTCTTTCCCAATCACCTTTGTTCTGTCGGCTGTTCTCCTCGACTTTCTGCAGTGGCAGAAAAGCTCTGTTCCCACCAACACCAATGTCCACTAGGTAGCCATGGTCTTCCACACTGGACACAGTGCCCGTGAGCAGCTAGGGGAGAAGAAAGCATTCTTAAACGTTCAGAGACCCAATATAATGAAACACATAACCCAACATTCATTACCTAGTATGAGCATATGTAAGAGAACTGAGTATTTTCAGATATGAGAGGTCATCAGAAAAGAGTTACCCCAGCAGGTCAAGACGAAAATCCTTAGAAGGTACTTTGCCACAGCACAAATTAAAATGGGGGTAAAAAAAGTTACAGCATGTTACCTCGCTTAGCAGTATTTACAGTCTAAATCATCAAAACACTGATTTAGCCAAAGTATAATATATACTTATGCTGGGAGGATGGGGACAGAGAGGGGCAGATTAATAGAGCCGGATACTTAGTGTGAATGTTCTCTCCATCACGCTCAACACACTCTCCCTTCCCCATAGCCACTTTAATTCTCTCAGGGTTTAAAGAATTCTAAACTATGGGGAATGTTACACACAGGCAAATGATGGCAGAGAGGGCTCTCCCCCACAGAGAGTTTTCAAAAGACAGGAAGGACTTGGATGTTACACAAAAGGGATGAACTGGATGGGCCTGCAAAGCCCTGCCAGCCAGCTACAGAACCCAGAACTAAACTTCTCTCATCAGGTCCTAAGTACTTCCGAGACATTAGAGAAATCTGGCCAACCTCCTTTAAATGTCACAGAAAGCAGTGTGGCATGTCAAAGTGGCTATGACACTAGCTATTCAGTCTCTGGTAAATCACTTAACATTTACTGAGCCTGTTTTCCCCAACAGTGCCTCACAGAGTTACTGTGACAACGTAACTATAGAAATGACTAAACCATCTTTGACCTATCATACAGCAGGCTCGCCACACTTGCTAATTTCTTGAAAACTGGCTTATGTTCATTCTCCCTTTTGCTTAACCAAATCCTATCCAACTTTCAAGGTCCATCCCAAATCCCACTGCTTCTACTCAAACATTCCAAGGTCATACTGAGTTCCTTCCTCTCAATTTCAAGAGTATTAATCTATTTTCACGTTATTTTTTGTACTCACTGGACTTAAAGATTCTAAACTAGGACTAACTTCTGAATCTCCACTGGACTGAACCCCAAAGTTGTAGTATATACATTCTAATAGGTGACAGAAGAATTGCAGGGGCACAGTCCTCAACCATTCTATACAAATATACAATGGTCTTTCGTCACTGTTCTCCCACAAAGAAAGACTGGTCTATGGTTTAGTCACTAGTTTTGAATATTAGCATGTCTTCAAAAAAGACTTCATTGATGAAAAGTGGTGACAATTTTTAGAAAGAATTCCTTCATATCCTCCACTAAGACTCCCTTGAAATATTCTTCCTTGCTATGAGTCAATCTTAGATTTTTTTCCTTTCTTCCAAGGTGATGTAATTATGATTAGGTTTAAAACACCAATTTCTTTTAAGTATTCTAGAGACCTTTCCTCCAGGAAAGGTCCTGTGTGTGACAGAGTAAAAACATAAAGGAGACTAAGACTGTACTCACCAGTGGGGAGGGCAGAGGGAGGCACTGGCCTGTTCCCTAACCCAAGATACTCACCATGCCAGGCTTCAGGGCCTCAGCACTCAGCACGCCATTGACATTTTTGGGGTTCAGAGACAGCTTGACACTCTTTTTGCCCTTCTGCGTGGTTCCCACACTGCTCACCACACATCTCACCAGCATCCCAGGTGAGAAAAGCTCTGGCAAGGGGACCAGGTCCTGTGTAACACACAAGAGAAAGAGGTGCAACTCATTTTCCCCTGCACCAGGAGCCCACTGCCCTGCCTTGGGTCAGCGGTCCCTCAATCTCAGACCTTAAAGAATCTCAAAGGTAGATGAAGAGTAAGAAGTTGAGTTACTGCTCTCTCACAAAGAAACACTGGTCTGTGGTTAAATCATCAGTCTGGAATTTCAGCATTATGTCTTGAAGTATCAGCATATGCAGGGCAAATTTAAATGAGCTCTCTAAAAAAGCTGTCAATAGTTACAGTCTCTACTTCTTATGTTACTTGCTGTTCGATGTCCTCTGGTCTAGTTTCGACCTGTCTCACTGACCCCTTTATCTCCCAATAAAACTACCAGTCATCATGCCACTAAGTCCAACAATCCATTTTTCTCTTTTCACTTTGTTACCGCTAAGGCACTTTCTTCCTTCACAGACTTAATTACCAACCATCTTTTAAAAATCTCACACGTGTCTCTTATTTCTGGTGTATCAAATTCAACATATTAAAAATCATGATCATGGCCTCTCCTCCGTATTTCTTTTCAAGGAGGGAGAGCCATCCTGTTGGGATGTAACTTTCTAATTAATTTATCTTTACTTTTCACTCTCAAAAAAAAAAAATAAATAAATCACAATCCTCTCATCTAACCTCAGGACAAAATGACCCATCATCAAGTCAAGCACATCAGAAACGCAAGACTTCTCCCAGACAGGTGTCTCTGCTTCACTGCCCACACCCAGCTACTCTCAAGCACTGATCGCACATCCTGAGCCCTTGGTATTGTCATTCTGAGAGTCACTGCTCCTACTGTGGCCTTTCTGGTCTCTGGGTAACTACTCACACCTTTCCATTTGTTATGTGTCTGTATGTCACTCACTCCAATTAGAACATTTCGAGGGGTTCCTACTGACTACATATTTAAAAACCAATCTTGAACACGGTCACAAAGCTATGCACAGTCTGGACTCTACGTAGCTCCCAACCCTACCCCACGCCTTCTGGGATTCTCAACCCACATCAACCCAGTGACAGAAGAATTGCCCCATAAGTTTTCTTTTTTTTTAAATGGGCAGATCCGCTGCAAACGACTTCTACCTCCCAGGATTTTCTAGGCTATAAGCTTTACCAGAGCAGATCATCAGTCTTTATCCACAGAGTAACTGAGTGGGTACAAACTATCATCCCTTTGGTCAGCAGCTGAGTGCTTCACTGCTGCACCAGTAAGGCGTCTTAGAGCCAAACCAGACCGAATGCTGTCAAGTCGATTCCGACTCACAGCAGCTCTAGAGAACAGAGTGGAACTGTCCTGCAGGGTTTCCAAAGCTCTACGCCTTCATGGAAGCAGACGGCCACATCTTCCTCCCACAGCGACTAAGGGGTTCAAACTCCTAACCTCTCAGGCACCAGTTTAGTGTTTAACTGCTATGCCATTAGGGCTCCTAAATATGCCCCCGTTTATTATCATAAACTCTCAGGCTCCCTCGTACTTTCCCTTTTCAGGACTTTGCAAAGTCATAATTTTATGTCTCTCAGCACACCACTCGTTTCCAGTTACAGGTCTCACCCAGGTCCCCGTACCTTCACAGGTTCTTCCTGCGCCACCTGCTCGTTCAGCATTCTGGTGTAGACGTCACTGACTTCAGTCACCTGCACAAATCCCTGAAGGCCATTGGGGAGACTAATCACCAGTTCCAGGTCACGTACCTCTTTCACACAACCCAAAATCCGTATCCCCTCACACAGGGACTAGAAGAGACAAGAATAATGTGTTTAGAGAGACAATAATTGGGAGGTGAGGGTTTCTGATTACTAGTCCCAATTCTTACAAGAAATCTACAGAAGTTTCATTTTTAAAAAAGAAACACAATGTGTATGACAGTAGGGAGCTTTGGTAGCATATTGTCTAAACTCCCAGCTAATAACTAATAAAAGGTTAGTGGTTCAATCTCACAAACAGGAGAAAAATATGACAATCTAAAAACTGTTGTTGTGTCGAGTCTGATTCAACTCACAGCTGACCCTCTGGCAGGTTTTCAGAGGCAACTAATCGCTCTGGCGGAGACTGCCCACAGCCTTCAAAACCCTATGAGACAGTTTAAATCTGTCTTAGCTCCATGTGATCACACAGGAGGGACACAGGCTTTGGATTGCCAGTACTTTCAAATTCCCATGAGAAAGAAGCCAAAAGTCATGTTTTTATGGGAAAGCTCTTAGTTTCCTGATGTTAGCATAGATGTAAACAATTTTTTGTCAATTATCATACCCTAACAACAACAACAAAAAAAAACCCCAACCAAAAAAAAAATACACACCCTTACTACCATCAAGTCTATTCCAACTCCAAGCAGCCCTACAAGGCAAAGGACTGCCCACACGCTTCCCGAGGTCATAATTCTATATGGACGCAGACTACCTCATCTCGTGCAGAACAGCTAGTGGGCTTAAATTGTTGACGCCTTTGGTTACCAGCCAGGTACTTTAATCACAGTATCACAAGGATGTCTAGTTTTCAACACAACACACAAAATATTACTTCAGGATGAATCTGATACAGTCCTGGCATCTTTTCCATCAGAATAATTTGATATTTTTCTTTCTAATAATACATCAGAATTATAACCTAATATTTTAAGAAACACAGACTACTTTCTATCCCTGACATAACATTCACATCTACGAAATGAAAGATTTGATTCAGTGATTACTTGCTATTAGCAGTTATAATCTGCTACGGCAGGAGAAAGGTGGGTAATTTCCTCATGTACGATTAACTACCTCTGAAAACCCATGGAAGGGTCAGCTATGGGTCAGTTCTAAATCGAGGGTACACAACAACAACAATCTGCTATGAATTTACTAAAGTATCAACACCAGCCAGTCACAAATTCAGTGAGGACACAAAGCCTAATCAGGGACTCCCTAGGGTACCAAGCTAAGAAAGAATGCTCCAGGTGCTCGCTGGTTAAGTAAAGAAACTTCACAGCTCACTTCTCGGCACAAGGTGCAAGAGACTTCACAGACAAAAATAAAATAAAAGGAAGGAAAGGAGACGAGGAGGGTGCAAAAGGCACATACAAATTTGGGTAACTGAGGCAGTGTGGTTCCAGAAAGTGCAAGGCTAAACAAACCTCAACTTTGAGGATTTCAAACTTCTCTTTTGCTGGCGTGACAGTTTCTTTCTTTTCGATTTTCAACTTTTTTGTTTTGACTGGCCCTTTTTGGCTCTTCTTCCGTTTGGTGGATTTTTCTTCCGTAGAAACCTAAAAGGCAGGAAAAGTCTTACAGAAATCCAAAACATGCCTCATCCTCCAATTTCAGGTCACCTGTCACTTTGCTGTGTATACTCCTCCACCCCATCTCATCCTACTCCTTAAGGATTCCTGCTTCAATCCAAACTCTTCTCATCCCAGAATGGTTCCTCTGCCGGAGGTCTGAGCCTCTTTTGTGTTTTCACAAGTCCCTTTTCTCTAGTGTCCTTCATTCCATCCCTTGACTGGGAGTCACACTGAGGTTTCCCAATGTAAATTACACGGAACAGGTAGGCAAATCATGGAAGCTGGTCAGCACAGACCAAAGTTAAGGACACAGTAACAAGCTCTATGGTTCAGTTACATTGCATAAACTCGCCTCAGTTCCTCGTCATGGAGTGGTATCTCTATTATAATGTAGTTAGAAAGACTGTATAGCACAGACATGAGGCTATACATTCAAACGCTCATTTCAGCCCCTCCAGTATTTAGTGGGCAGTCTATTCTAGCTGAAGAGTAGAAACACTCATGCACATTATAACTATGATTCCAATACATGACACAGATCTCATTAAAAAATACAATGACCAAATTACTTTCTCACCATCCATAAGAATAAAGAGCCATAGCACTTACTTAAATATGGCCTCTTGAACAAGTTCAACTTAAAGAAGTGAACTTTTAAACAAAAGCAAATCTGGGAAATAACATATTCTGAAGCAAAGTCTATTCTTCATCAGGGCACTAGAGAGAAAGCTACAGTGAGTCACACCAGACAAACACACCACTTACGTCAAATAAGTTGTCCTGTTCAATTGAGTCCTGAAAAGCTTTCTCAGCTTTGTGGGCCTTGCTCGAACCCCCTCGGGGGAAGCTTTCTTCCAGAGTGGCCATATTTAGGACTCCTAAACAATGCAGAAAAGAAGTGAGATGTAACCTTAGTAGTAGATTTCCCAAAGACTACAATCATTAATAACAGATGACCTCCATCAAAACAACTATGAGACATCTTCTCACTCCAGTAACAATAGCAAAATTTAACAGAACAGCAAACATCAAATGCTGGAGAGGTTGTGGAGAAACTGGAACCCTTATTCACTGTTGTGGGAGTGTAAAATGGTGCAACCACTATGGAAGGCTGCATGACGCTTTCTCAAAAAGTTGCAAATAGAAATACCATTTGACCCAGCAATTAACCATAACTGCCAGTCAACCAGATATATGCATACTCATGTTTATTGCAGTTTCATTCACAATAGCAAAGAGTTGGAAATAAGCCAAGTGTCCATCAACAAACTAATGGATAGAGAAGCTCACAATGGAATACTATGTTGCATGGATAAACAAGGAACTCATGAAATATTATACAAAATGGGTGACCCTGGAGGACATTATGCTGAGTGAAAGATCTCAGTCATAAAAGGACAAATATTGCATAGGGCCACTTTTATAAAACAGGACTGACATCGGGGTTGAGGGAAGACTGAGAAAGATGGAATAAATAATGTATAGTGCATTGAAACAGATGAGGGTGAGAACTGTTTAAAAGGGATATATGATTATGTATTATTGTCATAACAGGAGTCCAGAATGAAGGCTACACAGTGGAGTGGACTTGGGGGGGAGGGACTGCATAACAATGAAAGAATTTTTCTTTTACTTTTCAAAGAGACAAGCAAATTGGGGGGGAGGGGGTGGGCAGGGAGAAAAGTGCAACAATGAATGAATGGAATTCCTAAGTCTCTGTAAACTTTCATTAAAATTAATTTAAAAAAAAAGATAACCTCCAATTACAATGTACTTCACAACACTGAGGACTGGGACATAAATTATTTAGATGTCAGGCCCCAATCCTTCAAAACCATAGAATGTCCATAGACATTCCTAAAGGAAAAGAAGTTATAAAGTCAATGTAATATTCACTGGGAAGTTACAATGCGTAAGACAAGTTCAGAAATGCAAATATGTAACCCCCTAGAAGGAAGGCATTAATAATTGCTTCATATGCAGGTGAAAGCTGAACAATGAGTAAGTCTGCAGAAGAATTAATGCCTTTGAATTGTGATGTTGGCCAAGAATACTGAATATATCATGGGCTATCAGAAGAACTAAAAGACCTTTCTCGAAAGAAGTACAGCCAAAAGCTCCTAAAAGTAAAAAAGGTCTGACTTTGTCTCACATACTTTGAGTATGTTATCGGGAGGGACTTGTCTCTGGAAAAGAATATCATGCTTGGAAAGAGATAGCGAAAGAGAGGAAGACCTTCATTCAGATGGACTGACATGATGGGTTAAAGAGTAGGCTTGAGAGCACAGCAGGCTCGTGCAAGAACATTAACCAATCATAAAGGAGCTCTAATGGCCTAGACACTTTCCTCCTTTTGTACACGAGCTATGAACTGAAGTCGTCAACGCAACAGGACCTAACAAACAAACCAGGATCTAAGGACAAGGAAGGTGCATGCTTTTAAAAATACCAAACAAGTACGCAAATAATTTAAAATAAAAACCAGTTTATAAATGTTAACAGAGGTAAGAAGTGATGTGAGGCTTTAGTAAAGGATGCAGATGCAAGCATCCTAAAAATGTTTCCATCCTAAACGTTAAAGATGAATAGGATTTTGACAGGTGGGTTGGGAAAAGCAACAGAATAGGAAAAAAGACTCATTCCATTCAATAAACACCAGCATTATGTCTGTCAATTGGCTCAAGTATATCAGAGATGATGAGGATGGTACAGTATAGTGCAGGGTTCAGAACTGTTGTTCATAAGATCGCTTTGCGTTTTAGTCTACTCCAAAGCACAAAGCAATCGTTTGTATTTACCTTAGCAAATAGAAGCCTTGGTACGGTGAATGCTCAGCACAATTTGGATGATCTGGCCCCAGATCCGCCTCGAAAGGCACAGACGGGCTCCTTCCTCCCACCTGGGCCCCTCACTCACCGGCCCCGTGAGGCAGGGACCTCTTTCGGAGCCCGAGCCGCCGTAGTCACGCGGAGATCAGCAAGCCGACAGCCAAGGATGCTCTTCCGGAAGTGCGGGCGGGCTCAACGACCTATTTCCCCTACTCGCCTTAGTCTTACTGGGTGGGGCGAGAGAAAGGAAGCGGAAGGGTGGGACTTCGAGTAGCAGCCAATAGACAGTAAAAGCCTAACCGCTGTAGCGGAGTGAACTGATCCAAGGAAGGCGATTTCTTCCGGCTGGGCCGAGGGTCGGATTTCTATGTTGAAGGGCACAGACTGTGGAATTTGTGGCTTTGGCTAGGTGAGTATGGAGGGGCAGCCCGGACATACACCTCCGCTTTGCGGGACTGGAGGACATTCTGACCATTTCTGGTCCCGAACACGGCGAAGCCTTCATTTTGGGAGGCAGCTAGAGTGGAAAAAGAAGGAAAGAAAAGGAGGGCCCAGGCGCCATGAATGGCCAGTGGCTAGGAATCTGCGGGATGAGGTGGACGGGTGCTCCCTGAAGGCCCTTAGGTTGCATTTTCTGATGGGGAAATGTTAGGCCCGCCCCGAAGGTAAATTCCCCAAGGTCACCAGTGACGTAATATTCACCAGGATTCGGGCTTCTGGCCCCATCCCTGGATGTGCATGGCAGCTTGTTTGCTTTGATGCCGCTGGAAAGCTGGTGAGCCAGCTGCTTCTGCTGCGCTGCCGTCCGTGTCCAGGCAGGAGTGAGCGTGGCCAGGCCCTGCAGTGCCCGGTCAGCGGGAAGGCCTTTCCTTCCTGGGCGATAGCCAGACAGCGTTCTAAACGCCTTTAAGGGCGAGAGGCTACTTCGGGTACAGTACCCGAGCGGTTCTCACCTGCCTTTGCCTTCTTCCCCACGCGATCTCACTGTTAGGTAAGGTGTCAGCCAAGCCAGGTGAAAACAGCTTTGAGGAACAGAGAAACTGGTAGACCACTGGTCCTTTTCCGAAATACGTGTCTCACTGGTGTAGAAAGATGTGGAAGGATGAATTACATTTAATCACAATTACCATGCAGCGTGTCCCTTGTTCTGTTCAGACAGCAGCCTCTTGGTCTAGGTGTAGGTTTCATATGAGCACAGTGAAGTGTTCTGGGATTCCCTTTCTTCTAAATGCTAGCCATAATTTGTTAGTTATTTTGGGAATATTTTCAGGCAGAATCAGTCCTTGGAGAGAAGACAACGTGCTGGGAAGGTTAGAGGGTCAGTGAAAGATAGGAAGACCCTCAAGAAATGGACTGAGACAGTAATTACCACAATGGACTTGGGCAGGACGGAAATGAAGAGGTTGGCGAAAGATAGGGCCAGATTCAGATCTGTTGTCCTAACATCACTTAGCTCTTCCACACCCCAGTTCTCTTGCACCTCCTTACAAACTATGTCTTAGCAATATTAAATCACAAGTATGTCTTAAGTGATTTTTCTCTCATTAAACTGACATGTAACTCAAAAGAAAAAAAAATTTCTCTAAGGACTTCTGTCCTGTGCATTAGGATCAAAATATGCCTGAATTTGTAAAAATGTGAGTGTACTGCAACGATAACTGGAACAAGAAATATTATGAGTTGAAGTCCTTAAATGGGAGACCCAGAAAAATCGTAATAAGTCCTTTCTATAGTATTACTGCCTGCACTGGGCCGCATGATCTTTGAGCAGAGCACAGTTGTTTCTAACTCTGTTGGAAAAGATACGTGGTTGCTAGGAAGAGCCATTCCTTGGAATGGTGAAAGGTTACCAGGGAGCAAGACCCTTAACGAGGTGGACTGACACAGTGACTGCAGCAGTGGGCTTGAGTGTGTCACGATGCCATAGGATTGGACAGGGTTCAGATCTCTTGTTCATGAGATTGCTGTGAGTTGTACTTGACTCCCTGGCACCTAACAGTAAGATATACCACTCATACTACCCGGGGGGG